TTAATGTTAAATATTTATACATATATTCCAAACATTATACATTAAATGTAATGGTAAATATTATATCTTATTAAAGAAACAGAAATAATATTTTCTTAATTTTTAAAAATTTTGTTCTAATAAAAAATTTTGATGTCACAAAGTAAAACATTTAATATATTCATTAAAACTATAAATTTAATATTAAGTACTCATTAAATAGGTATCTAAAGAATATATAAACTTCATTAAAAACTGATTAAATAAATATTTAATGAGTAATATCTAATGTGATTCAAGTTGTGCTTAATGAGAACGTTTAATGAATAAATTCACCAGCCACATTTAACTTTAATCTCTCAATTTACTTTTTGCTGTTTTCTAATCTTTGTTTTGCCAATTCCGGAGAAAGAAAGCTTTAAGAAAATTAAGAAACTTGGCAAGCTAATTTATCGTTTTCATTTTAACGGCGCCAATTTAACCAACGCAAGTTGAGAGTTTTAATTCTTCCAGAATGTCTTTGCGGACTACGATAATGCGGTGCACTCGCGTTTTGCCTTTAACTCTCCAAAAATGTTTGTGATCTACGAATGAAGTTATTTTTCTCGGAAACTGGATTATTGATCGTGTTTGAACTACAACCCACAAATTTTATTGGCTTCTTAATCTTCGGGATTGCAAACGAACAAAGAAGGAGCAAGTCCAGATCTGCCGTGTTTATTCGGAAGAAACGGGATTCAAAATAACCCAACATTCTACTACAATTCAAAAGTTATGTAGCTGATTTTATGACTCTTGTAATCGATAAGTTCTTCTGCATCATGTTAGGCATCACCTAATTTGTTGGTTCACTTGTATTTTTAGAGAGAATCATAACGTGTTATACTTTTTAACCTTCGTCGATAATGTGAAATTTTCATCCTTCGTCAGCAACATGGGTCTTCGAATTTCAATACAGATTTTTATATTATTCTGGATTGTATAAAAATCTGAAAAGTACTTACTTGTAAAAGTTTTAACAACGATTTTTTTACTATGATAGAGTTGAATTATACTGTACTACTTACTTATTTTTTTACAGATTTAACTCTAATCGGTATTCGTGAGTCCAGTGGACCTGGACGTTTTTTTCAACTATGTTCTGAAGAATTGTAA